GCTCACATTTACAATATGTATTCAGACCCTGTAGCAAACTGAATTGATTGGACATTGTGCAGAAAGGTCTTCATCTGTTTGTTAAACACTACATGACAGAAGGAAAAACAAAACCAAACTGTGAAAGAACTCTCAGTAAACCTCATACAGTTGTGGTGATGCACAGGAGCAGCTCATTTCACCTAAATATTTGTGAAATGGATGAAACACTAGACCTGTTTCTACAAAGACCGCTCAGCCAGCAGGAGTGTGAGGCAAGAAGAGCCCTGATCAAGAAGGAGACTGAGAACTAAACAGTCACCCAGAGTCAGAAGTCCTGGAGAGAACCTTTTGGAGAGACGACCATCTCAGCAGCAATCCATCAATCAGTGGTCAGACGGTCAGATAGTTGGCTAGACAACATTTGAAGGACCCACAATGCATCAGGAAATTACTCTCCGGTCAGATGAGACAAAAGAAATGATGTATTCCTAACTGCTCATCACCAGGCTCGCACCATCCTTTCATGGCAGCATGATGGTGGCTGCATCGTTTTATTGACAGTGGGGATTCTTGGCAGCAGAGGCAAGGACCGGTCAGAATTGAGGGATGGATGAAATCAGCTAAACACATAAAGATTATTATTAAAAGCGAGTTCCAGAGTGCACGGACTTGAGACTGGGAGCCATGGATCTTATTTTAGTATGACAACATTGGCTGAAGTGGCTTCAGGAGAAGTCTCGAACTGTCCTTGAGTGGCCCTGCAAAAGTGCAGAAACTCAAACTCTAAAGAACATGTGTGGAGAGACATGAAGGTGGCAGCTCACACATGTTTCCCATCCACTGTGGCTGAGCTGGAGAGGTTCTGACAGGAAGAATAGGATAAAGCGCCCCGAATCTAAGTGTCAAGCAAAGCTATGTGATCTCTGCCAAAAGGAGCTTCTACACAGTTCTGACCTGATACCATGTCATCAACATTTTTCAGTTTTTTCGCTTTTTTTAACAGATACTTGCCATCTCTTTTAAAATTAAAGATTTGATTTCCGAAGCCACTGTAGTTCTATAATGCATATTTTTATCAGGCCTGTGTGTGTGGGACATAAACATCATGGGTACAACAAGCAAGTCCCAGTAATGTAAATCACTCCATTTGTAGGTAAAGACAAGATGTTTAAAGGTTAGGTATAGGTTTACGTTAAGGTTGAGGTATATGAGTTTATGGTTGAGGTTAGAGTAAATCTTCAGGAAATGACTGTAAGTCAATGTAATGTCCGCTGAAGTCATGTAGATATCAGTGTGTGTGTGCACGTGCATGTATATATGTATGGCTGCATGTGCTCGTGCACTCATCTATGTAATTGAGACTCTGAACTCTTGAACTGTAGCGGCACCACTTTATCATTCACTGTGAGGGCATTAACACACACACACACGCACGCATGCACACACACACACACACACACACACACGCACACACACACACACACACACACACACACACACACACACACAGGCAGACAGCCCTGTGTTGAACTTGAGATGAGTTATGGAAAGGAAAACAGGAGTTAGGGGTCAGACTGTATGAGGTCAACCTGGAAGAATCTCAAGTCTTTCTTAAGGTCTCTCTCTCTCTCTCTCTCTCTCTCTCTCTCTCTCT